TCAATGAAGGTTATTATTATAGTTATTACGAAGCTCGAGGGTATTTCAGTAATTCCTTTAAGTTTAATCATTTGCAGTTTCTGAGATATTTAATCAAATATGTCATTTTAGAGTTATCTTTCACCATCTGGGGAAGTCTTGGTCCTTTTTCCATTACAAAGGCATTTTTGTAATTTTATCTCATAGTGCTCTTTTCTGTAATTTCATATCCAGTTAAACCTAATATTTAACTTTTAAGAGAATTTATCAAACTTCATGTATCTTGAAACCGTTTCATTTATTATTGGATCACTGAACTTATAATTAATTTCGATTGGTCTTCCAATTTCTCTTTATCGAGCCGTCTGTGTCTTATAACGTTTTCTTTCCTTGTTCCAATTTTACGTGTGAGTCCACTGATAATTTAGTACATCTAATGTATCAATCAGTTCAATTCATGCAATTAACATCCATCAAAGAGTCCAAGAAGCATACAAAAAGTACTAGAGTATTACCTCAATTTCCGTTCCATACCAATCGACCATTTAAACTCCATTCGATTGCCCTAGAACTTGAATTCAATATCCAATAGTTCTTCGAATACAAAGCAACCGAATTTACGTCAGAAACTGAACTCAATTGAGAAACCACATTGAATTCTGAAGGTAAAACATCGAAATACAACTTACCGGGTGTGAATTTAGCAAAACGGACTTTGGATTCGGACTCAGGACGTTAAAAAACATAAAATGAGACCCTTTCGAAAAAGTTGACTTTTTTGTTTGCGGTTAACGGTCAAAGACAATTGGTTAAAGTCGATGGGTCAAAGTCAACAAGTTGACTCAGACGGAGTTGACTCAGTGACTGGAAGGGTAAGCGGGTCGGGTCGGATCAGACGGGTCGACCCGATTCTGGAATCTTCCCCAGGGCCAGAACAAGCACCATGCGCATACGGCTGCGTATGGAAGCGCGTGAGACAGCGACAAGGGACATTTCGCTCGGCCGTTCACTCTCGAAGCATCCTAGCAGCATTTCCAACTCAACTAAGCCAAATTAATCAAGAAAAACGGGGAAAATATATATCGGAAAGCAAATCACACCTTACCCAAACGGAGATCGATGATGGGACAACTTCAGACGACGAAATCGAGTGACTTCATCACGGAAAGAGAATTTTGTGGGGGAATTAAATCAGGAAGAGAAGAAAAATGATCAGAGCGGGAAATTCTGGGAAGAAGGTGACTTCATCAATAGAAATCGACCCCATTTTGAAATATCTAGAAGGAAAACAACTGGGAACATTGGCTCTGCTTGTTAGCAATGAATCGGTACTTCTTTGATCATTGATTCCTACTTCTACTGAACTTCATTCTTTTAGTATTTGATTTCGATTATAATTACTAAAATAATAAAAACAAATATTTATATTGTTATATATAGATAGTTGTAGTATGACAAGGACTGATTCTATCAAATATAAAGAATGTGGGTTAAATTAAATATCCTAACTCGTCTTACAAAAATAAATTCCTTTTCATCCTTGGATTAAAAAACAAATTATATGTATACCCTATACGTATAAGTGCCTTGTATTCCATATACCCGTGAAAAAAAGTTCATCATTGTGACAACTTTGAAGAAAATCTTCTTCTTTGTACTTTTGATTCAATGCACCACATTGACTGAATCTTCTCGTCCATTGGAGAAGATGAAAAGAAAACCGATGGTTATAGTGGCATTATGTTTAATGTCATCAACTTTGGAGCTATCGGAGATGGACTCAAAGATGATTTATTTGGTCAATCTATCCACAATAACTCACATAGTTTCGTGTCTTTGTCTAGTCATTGGTAACCCAGTCACAAAGTCTATGGTCACCCTATTCTACTTCCACTGTGGTATCTGAATTGGTTGGAGCAACCCTAAAGGAACCTGATGTTCAACCTTAACTTGCTAGCATACTAAGCACTTAACGACGAACTCGGACACTTTCTTTTTCATACCCAACCACCAATATAACGGTCGGAGCTCTTGATACATCTTGTTACTATCTGAAAGAACTGAGAGTGGGCAACAATGTATTTCATAGAGGATTTGGCTACGCAATTGTTTGTCTGTAGGTACGCACAAACGACCCTTGAAGTAGAGTACGCCTCCCTCGCGTAATTCAGAACCCAAGACCTCACCTCGGTGGACTTTCTCCACACGAGCCCTTAAGGGATTGTTCAAACTCTACAGTCTTTGAACCTTACTTACTAACTCAGGTTCTACTTGAAGTTTGGCTAGTAACATGCCATCACTAAACAAATTCAAGCGTACAAACAAAGCTCACAACTCATATATCGGCTTCATACTCAACGCATCTACGACCACATTTTCCTTCCCAGGTGGTAGTCAATTACGCAGTCGTAATCCTTTAACAGCTCAATCCATCCACATTGTCTCAGATACAACTACTTTTGCGTGAGTGGGTACTTAAGACTCTTATGATCGGTGAAGATATGACACTTCTCCACAAACAAGTAGTGTCTCCAGATCTTAGAGCAAAATTGCTCCGGCAAGATCTAAGTTGTGGATGGGGTAATTATTCTCATGCATCTTGAGTTGACAGGATGCATAAGCTACCAATTTCACTTTTTTCATAAGAACCCACACAAGGCCATTCAGTGAGATATCGTTAAACACTGTGAATTCCTTGCCCGATTCTGGTTGGGTCAACACTGGGGCTTAAGTTAAGATGGTTTTCAATTGATCAAAGCTTTTCTATCGCTTCGCATCCCACACCAAAGAAACTCCCTTCTGAAGTAGTTTAGTCATTGGGGTAACTATCATTGAGAAATCCTTTACAAACCAACAGTAGTACCCGAAAAGACCTAAAATGCTACGCACTTTTGACATGTTTTTTTGTGGTTCCCACTTTAACACTTCTTGAATTTTCAAAGGGTCAATCCGAATGCCATCCGCTATTACGACATGACCAAAAATGATATCTCAGACAGAGACTTTAGTCATGCTCCTAATTTTATTGCTAGTGCACTAGGATATCATCTATGAACACCACCATAAACTGATCTAAGTGCGGGTGGAAAAATCGATTCATTAAGTCCATGAATATCGCTGGGGTGTTGGTGAGTCCAAAAGGCATCACAAGTAAATCGTAGTAACCATACCTTGTCCTAAACGTTGTCTTTTCTATGTATGCATCCTTAACCTTCAACTGGTAGTACCCATATCTCCTATCTTCGAGAACATACAATTTCCCTTAAGTTGGTTGAAGAGGTCATTGATCCTAGGGAGAAGATAATGGTTCTTGATGGTTAATTTGTTCAACTGACGATAGTTGATACACAACCTCATCGATCAATCCTTCTTCTTTATAAAAAGGACTGGTGCTCCCTAAGGAGAAATACTTGGTCAGATAAAACCCTTCTCTAAACACTTTAGAGTTGGACTTTTAATTCTTTAAGCTCTGTCGATTCCAATAACATAGGGAGTAATGGCCACCAGAATGAAACCCGGTAATACCTCAATGCTAAATTCTAACTCCCGACCTAGGGGTAAACCTGATAATTCCTTAGGAAACACGTCATGGAATTCTTGAATGGTTCAAATATCATTGAGTATGTGAAGAAAAATTTGGGCATCGATCACATGAGCTAAAAAGGCTTCACAACCTCGATCGATCATCCTCTGAAACAATCATTGAACACCCAAGTTTCTCGCTAACCATCGATACTTTGGTTCTATCATCCTTCCTAAGCTTGAGTTGCATAGATTTACACCTCAAATTAACATCGTACTTTGAAAGCCAATCCATGCCAAGATCATGTCGAACTCTCTAAATGGCAACACTTAAGGTTAGTTGGGAAAACCTGACCTTGGATTTTGACTAGACATCGGTGGTGAACCTTGTCGACCATAAAATCTAACCTTAAAAGGCTATAAACCATGACTCATACCTTCAATGGAAAACACGATAAAAGTACTTGAGATCACATTAACTGTGTCACACTCTTCCTAAGCTCGAACAATATATTGGCGTGAGGTTACTCAAGGCTCTACACCGGCCAGAGATCTAGCAATGCCACTATTGTGTTGTCCAAAAATAGAACTCCCATCTATCGAGGGTCTTTAGACCTTCTGGATTGTTTGAGTTGATTTATGGATCAGTGATGGAGTCTCACTCTATGCCTCGTGGCAATCCCAGATAAAATGGTATAGTGATCCACAACCAAAGTATCATACAGTCTTTAAGTAGAACACCCCAAGATGCCTCTGTCCATACGTCAGACAAGTTGGAAAAGGTTCTCTCATATACCTGCTAGCACTCACCGCTGACGCTATCGCTAAGGGTATCCTATGTGGCCCTGATCTACCCCCTCGATCTACACTTTAGGTTGATCTCTTGAATTATTCTACTGGGGTCCACCACAACCTTAAGAATCTCTAGTTATCTTAGACGATCCTTGAGTGGGTCTCGAAGACTTTGTTATCCTCTAACTCTGTCCTGATATAATAATAGATACTCTAGACCTCTTCCCCAAAATCTCCTCAATCATCTTTGCCTAGCGAACCAGCTCAACGAAGATTCAGGTGGGTCTGCAGTCAAGTGGGTGAGAATATCGAGATGAAGGTCGTCCCTGAACCTCCTGCAACGATGATACTCAGATGACACAAACTCTGACACGTACCGACTCAGTCAGAGAAACTCCATCTCATACTCGAACACCGATCGATCTCCCTGGGTCAGATGAAGGAACTTATCTCTTAAATCATGGTGTAAGCCTCTCCAATATACTTCTTTCAAAACTTTAACAAGAAGTGCTCACACATCGATTTTTTGAGCTTCATAGCCATCTCAATAGTCTCTCACTAGTCTATGGCATCACCCTTTAGTTGGGCGATGATGCACTCCAAATTACCCTTAAGGGTCAAGTGTAACTCTTAGAGCATGCAGAGGGTCTATCTAAGTCAATGATAAAAAATGATAGGGTCATCATCCCCAAAACCAAAGGATCTACCATCTTGTATCGACAAAGTCTCTCGACTGAAGACTCCTAATGAGCTATGAATGAAGGAACTAATAGTGTGGATGGGGTAGGTGCTACATATGGAGTCCTATGGATGACCCTCTCTATATGCCTCACCACAGTTAGATTCCTAAAAAAGACTACCTCGTCGACCCGAATGTCCCCCGGAAACTCAAACTCGGAGTTTGAGATAAACTCATCATTGGTGTCACCCGCTAAAGAGGTGCAACTCTCCTCTCTACCCTCGTGGTTATGGGTTGCTATCTTCCATAACCTTTTTTGCTAAAATAAATAAGGAAAAATGAGTCATTATCAATGTTCCACACACAAAAGTACATGTCAATACTCTAGGAGCATCTACACATATAGACCCATTACTAGTTATAATTCGTGGGTCCTAGGAACGAATGAACCAAATGCTCTTATACTACTAAATGTAACGTCCAAATCCAATTCGAACCGAAGATCGAAGGACCAAAATGTCACATGGGACCACCAAAATGGCTAACCCAAAAATTTCTTTAAAAAAAATAAGATATCCATCAAATTCATCCATGATACTCTCTCTATCCCATTAAATGTGTCCATTATTGAATTTTAAAAAGTCAAAAATTTTAGACTTTGAGCATGGTTTTTTTAATATTTTAAATAATTAAATTTTATAAAATATATTTGAAAACTACTTGACTTAAGGTTTTTAAAATATATTTTTCATCTTTTTATCAATAATAATTTGAAACAATAATGAGTCAAAATTCAACAAGTTTAACTAAAAAAATTCAACAGTGGACATATTTAGTGGGATAGAGGGAGTAATAAAATAAAATAATAGTATTTGATTTACAAAATTTGTGAGCCCCCAAAATACATCCCAATTAAGTTTAACAATGTTTCAAAATACAATTATGACTCAAACACAAAAAGATCTATATACAATACAAGCCCTTAAAAAAATACTCAAGACTCAAAAGCTTGTGTCTTTCTGGACTGTTCAATAAGCTACTTGAACGCTTCTCCTAATAACATGAACACAAAAACAAATTTTGAACGTTAAGCTCACTAGCTCAGTGACATACTAATAACCAAACTATACTACATGTGTCTACTATATGTTCATGTTAGAAATTGTATAATTTAGCATACGAAGATGCTAAGTTAAACATATATATAGGTAGGCATCATGGTGTTGTCAGAGGGTTTCGCTATATCTTAGAGTCACACACTCATCTAGCCTACATAGGGTGAGATCCAAAATTTCTACATCAGAAATGTTCACTCGACCAACCAACGCCTTACGAGTACTTGGGGCATCTATACCCAGTCGGTAAATAAGTGCCTTGTGCACTAGATGAGAATTTTTTAGACATCCTAACATACAAACGTTCATCCTGTAACTAGAGCAACCCAAGGATAGTTTTAGGACTTCCTAATTTAAATCGTTTATAAATGTAATTATAATTAGTAGCATTGTTCTCCCTTGAAATCTTATTTAGGAAGTTTCGATGGCCTTTAATTTCCCTACTCATACTTTTAAAAATAAGAAAATTTCTTACCCAAATCAGATGATGGTATCAATACTCTTAGTTTGAGTATCGATACAACCTTACGAAAGTATCGATACTACCTTTAGTATCAGTACCCAATTTGGTTTTGATCTTTTGAAAATTTCCTTAGCATCAATACTCCTAGCTATAATATTTTTACTTCTATATAAGAGTATCAATACTACCCCGAGTATTGATATAAAAAATAGCTTTGACGTTTTGAAAATACCTAGTGTTGATACTCATACTTGGGGTATCAATACTCTACCCTCAGTATCGATACTTATAGGAGTACCGATACCAAAATTTTCTTCTGGAATGTGTTAAGTACACTCTGTATAGATACCCCTCCTACGAGTATCGATACCCAACCCTCATTATCGATACTCAATGAATGAGTATACGGCTGCGTATGGAAGCGCGTGTGACTGCGACAAGGGACATTTCGCTCGGCCGTTCACTCTCGAAGCATCCTAGCAGCATTTCCAACTCAACTAAGCCAAATTAATCAAGAAAAACGGGGAAAATATATATCGAAAAGCAAATCACACCTTACCCAAACGGAGATCGATGATGGGACAACTTCAGACGACGAAATCGACCGAGTTTGGAGTGCGTTAAGGTTCTAAGTCTGATGGTACAGGTGGTGAGGCGAGTTGATGGTCGAATTTGCCGAAATCGGGAAGAGAAGCGGCGGCGACGGGGATGATCGACGAGCTTTACGACCTTGATTGGCACCGGTTGACGTTGCGGGGTGCTTGGGCTAAAATCATCGGTTGTCGACGGTTCGAACGGGGTAGAGAAAAGGCCGAATGGTGGCCGAACGACGAAGGCTTAGGGCTGGCGAAGCTTCGATCAGGTGGGGGGAAATATTTTATGGATTTTGAACAATTTGGGAATTTTGGTTATTACTAATCGGAGGAAAAATTTTAACTGTGTATTAAAATTGGGTAAATTCAGGTTCAAGTCCCTGAATTTTATGCACTTCCTAAAACTATCCAATAGTTCAAGAAAGTCATAATTTGACCCCTATTTTGGGGTGTTATAGTTTATCTTTGGCATAGTTGGCATTTGGGGCAATTTAGGCTGATGATGAAGATGATTGAGTAGCTTGGCAATCATATTTGCATGTCAAGTTGAATGATTTATCAAATCAATTGAAAGAAGCTGATTTTGTTTCGAGAGATCTCTACTGACTTTGCAAATGAAAGATTTCTCTAAGCTGGATGATCTGATTATAGTTTGCAGCGTTGCTTTGCAAGTGGATGGTTGTAGTGGCATGGAGCTGGAGCGGTGTTATGGTTAGAGTGCTTGTGTTAATTACATTGCAGTGATTTGAGAAGGTGATGGTGATGTGTCTTTTATTTCGATTCAAGGCGTCAATGTGGCTTGGGGTTTGGCAGTTTCTTGTCTTTGTTTATTGCTTGGCAATGGAAGGTCTTTGCCCGATTCTTTACGAATGGTGGTTCTCTTTTTGTTGCATTTTTTGTGGGTAGCCTGATGGATGCAGTCATAGAAGGGCTGGCTCAATTACAAGGCGAATCGAGCAATCCTTGTGGAAGTTACTAGGTTGCCTTGCCTTGAGCATCTAACATGTTGTGGCCGTGGATGTTTTGATGTTTCTTCGTCATTTTTTCTGTCTTGCTCGGTGAATCGGGGTGTCCCCGTTATGTTTTATTATGCTCGACATTGTCTTGACGGCGTTGATTTTGTTTGCATCAGTCGTATTGCAGTGAGCTGAATTGTTTCAATGTGTCGTGTTGGTCTAATGGATTCGTTGCAATATGTTTTTAATTGCTTCAGCCCGATATACTTGTGTTGGTAGGCTGCTATTTTGTTGTTTCCCTAAGCTTTTATCGTGGAACAGATGGTAATTTTTGGCTTTTGGCCAATTTTACCTTTATTAATATAATGTCTTTTGTTGTGAAAAAAATGGTTTTAGGTCACTAATATTTTTGAAATTATTACAATTAAGTCATTTCCCTTCCAAATTCACCGATTTAATTATATTTTAGGACCCTTTTAGTTTTAAAATGAAATTCCGAGTTCTAGTTTTTTTATTTAATTATTTTGGGTTAACTACATGGATGGTACCTTATCTTTGTGTTTTGTCCACTTTTGATCACTGATTTCAAAAAACATAAGATATGATCACTTTTGTTTTTATTTAATTAAAATATGGTCACTTTCGTTTTTATTTAATTAAGATGTGATCACCCCGAGTTAACTGCCGTTAACAGCAGTTAAATATCTTTGATATAATCACACATTTGATCCCTATTATTTACATATTCTCTCAATTTAGTCATACATTTAGTAAATTAAAATAAATTTAATCCTCCAATCAAACAATGCCACATGTCATGCCATAAAGGTTGTTCAAAAATACCTAATCCAATTGAGCTGACCCGTCGACCCACTGACCTAGTTAAAAAATAGCGTGTATTTATAATAAAAATACCAGATTTTCCGGGTCGGGTACTCGGCCGGGTTTCTGTGTTGAGCATGGGTTACAAAATGTTGGTTAACCGAGTACCCTCTGACTCGACGCTCGATTTATTATATACTTTTTATTTTATATTAAATTTCTATTCATGATCCACAAATTATTTTACTCTAACATTCTAAAATCCTAATTTCTTAAATTTTGACACCATAACGTTCTAAATTCTTAATTTCTTAAATTATTTCACATTAATGTTCTAAATTATTTTTTTTATAATATTTATTTTAACTTCAAAACATTTGAAATTTAACTATATTTCTTTATTTTAAATTTTAATAAATTTTTTTTCAATTATGTAATTTGAAATTTTCAACTTTATGTCTGAATATTATATATTATAGACTTTTAAATTTTAAATTTTAGAATTTTTTATATAACTTTTTTATAAAAATATTATAATTTAAAGAAAAATAAAAAATTATCATTTGGGTACCCATGACCCGAATTATATATAATATAATTTTATATGTATTAACTTAAAATATTTTTATATCAACTTATTAAACATATTTTATTATTAACTTAATTTAAAAATATTTTATTTTAATTTTAAAATATAATTTATTTTAATTTCTTAAAAGTATGACTAAATTGAGAGAATATGTAAGTAACATGACCAAATGTGTGGATATATCAAAATATTTAATTGTTGTTAACAGTAATTAACTCGGGGAGACCATATCTTAATTAAATAAAAATAAAAGTAATCATATCTTATGTTTTTTGAAATCAGTGACCAAAAGTGGACAAAACACAAAGATAAGTTACCATCCATGTAGTTAACCCAATTATTTTTTAAGACTCTTCAACTTTAAAATTATTGAAATCAAACCCTAACTTCTTTAAATTTTATGATTTATTCAATTTTAAATTGCCCATTTATTTTAAAGTTAAACAACGTGCGCTGTCTCATAGTTCAGTCCTAGCTCCATACCTGTCAACACAGGCACCAAAAAACGAGA